AGTAGTAAACATCGGAACGCAGACCAAGTTAATGAATAGTCCATATTAAAATTTTTTTTTCTTGCAGTTTGGAATGTCAACTTTAAAGATATGAAATATATTTTTCCCTAAATTATATTTATTTCAGAGCTCTAAATTTTAATATGAAAAAGTCATTTCTGCCATTTTGTCGCCTGTAATTGTTGTAACATTTGTATACAATTTTTTTTAAATACATAGGATGTCCGGTAAAGACCGTAACAGTGTTTAAATACAGATTCTCGAAATCATATTAAAATAAAAATCCTAATCCAAAATGTCGAGACTATAATAGTTCTTAAATTATAAGCATTTAAATTAGCGAATATATCGCCTAAAATGCGCATTTATAGGTGTGATTGGCATTTTACGTTGGCGTTTATCCACCACATCTATACGAATTTTAGGTAATATGATTCACTAACTTTAAATGCTTATAATCCAAAAACTTACAAAAAATTATAGCCTCGACATTTTGGTACTAGAATTTTCGTTTCAAAATGATCTCGGGAATCTACCTTTAAACGTTGTTATGATCTTTACCGGACACCATGTATAATTTTACATGCTTTATATACATATGTACATATATATATATATATATATATATAAAGATGTTACAGTATATACAGGGTGTTTGAAAAGTAATGATAAATCTTTCGCATAGGGGCAGAATGGACTAAACTAAGAAGAAAAATTCTCTACCATTTTACAATTTTAGTAATAATTAATAAGATATTAATTGTTAAATTGCCGAAAATTCTATAGTATTTGAATAAAAAATTATTAAAGACCAATTTTCGGCAATTTTTAGCAATTAATACCTTATTAACTATTACTAAAATCATAAAATGGTAGAGGACCTCTCTTCTCAATTTAGTCCATTCTGCTTTTATGCAAAAAATTTATTATTACTTTCCAAACTCTGTATAGATATTATCTAAGAATTTTTGTATACTTGTAAAATTGATGCAAATTAAGCCGGAACCCGAGCAATCTATCAATACATAATCCTTTACTACACAACAACTACATACTACTTAACAATACGATGATTTTTCGATCCTGAAAAATCATCGTATATATTAAGGAATAATCTAGATATTACGTATATAAGCAATCATATCCTCCATCATTATATCCTTCACGAATTTATGCAAAAAAAAAATAATTTTAATTACATAAAAAAATTTTGGTAAAAGCATCAATATATGGAAATAACACGTACATCAATTTTTTAAATAGCATCAACCTATATTACTAATATTCCAGTTTTTTGGAATGAGTATAATAGGTATATCAGAAGTATTTATGTATACTTGGCCAGCAGAACATTTGATGTATACGGTAAATAACTAATTATTTAAATCTGTTATATTATAATTCATTTCATTATACAAAATATTTATTACTTTTATATGTTTATTACCTAGAGCAAAAATGTCGCAGAAACAGCATTTCATATGCTCGAAAACAATCATTTAATTAAAATGTGGAAATGTCTACAAATTATTATAATGAGAAGTCAAAAACCAGTAACGGTTTCAATGCCTTGCTTTCTACCCGTATTGTCTCTTAATTATTTTACATCGGTAAGATCAAGTTACAAATTGATTTAAAAAAATAAAGTTTACTCATACATATTGTATTTCAATTTATGTTAATTATTTACCCCAAGAATTCTTGGACGTCCAAAATATATGTCCTAAAAAGTCCCGTTTATGTCGCTATATGTTAAATGCCTAAAATACGTCCCAAGATAATGAAATTATTTATATAGATATTTTAGGAATGTCCAAAATACGTTACTAATATGTTCAATTTTCAAATAGTGCGCAAACAAACGTTGTCAGAAAGATCCGAAGACTAACAACTATCAAACAACTTTATATATTTTCATCTTGCAGCCCAATAATTATTCAGTATCCTTCTCTTTGTTTCCAATAACTTATAGATCAGAAAAGATGAATAATTTTCGAATTAATATAATCTGTGCCATTCGGAATTGCGACAATTGTAAAATAATAGAGGACTTTTCTTCAGTCCATTCTGCTTCTATGCGAAAGATTTATCATTAATTTCCAAACATCCTATGTACAAAGTGACTTAAAAATTTTTTTTAATTTTTAATTATTATTTCAAACATTAATAATATTTATACATATAAATATTATCTTTTACGTAATATTTTTTCATGTATTTATGTACAAATATTATTGTAAAAAATTTATTATTTCGTTAACATAAAAAAATATTTGTTATTATGTGTTACAGTATCTTTCAACTATACTCTCCTATTTCACTTCACTGCGAGTAATGATGGACAATGATAACAATTAAATATACTAACACAGTTGAAATATTTGCTTTTGACAGTTGCAAAATTTTTATTATTAGTATTAGTACAATTGTATAGTATAATAAGTTTTTATAATCATGTGTGGTTACTGAAATATAACTATTACTACTACTACTTCTCTCTCTCTCTCTCTCCCTCTCTCTCCCTCTCTCTCTCTCTCTTAAAAAAATTGAATTATTAAATTCAAAAATAATAGTAAATTGAATTAGAGTGTTATTATTACAGCATTATTGATAAATATTTTACTTCAAAATTTATAAAAAAAATGTATACGCTATTCACCCATATATTTTCAAATTCTACTACTTGCATTAATCTCTAAAAATAACAGAAATAGAAAATATAATATTCTGTAAAAATTAAACATTATAATAAAAATTCCTGCTAAGAAAATTCTGTGACAAAAATAAAAATCGACGCCTACAAGTCAAATGTATAAGGAACAGTATCAGAGGCATAAATAGAGTTCCTAAGAAACGAAAATCGAAACAACAAAACATAAAAAAATCTTTACACTTTTTTTACATTTCGTTATTTCAATTTTTTGCTATTACTCTCCTCTTCAACTTACGCTTCGATTTTTCAGAGATAACTCCAAAGAAGAACTAAATTTCATAGAACAAAACAATTTTGATTTGTGCAAAATGTTTGCTTAATAGAAATACGAAAAAATATATTAAGTTTTTTTAATCCAAAATATATTATATTGTAATAATTTTGAAAATGTATTGTCTAATTACAATTCAATATTATCTAATTACAATTTTATTTAATTTTAACCCTAACATAAGAGATTTTAATTTTTATTTGAAGACTATTTGAACTTTTGAAATATAAGAAAAAGATTTTCTAAATATTCAAAACAGTTTTAAAAGTTTCAAAGACGTAGACTATAATACACATTTTACAAAATTTGGAATTTCTTTTAATATGCGTTTAAGAACCATTAAAGAATAAAAGTCAAACATACGTAGCTACATTGTATTAAAGCCATTTATTAGAATCGTTTAAACGGCAATTAAATTGAATTGAGTAAAAAATCTGAGCCTTGCCATATCTAGTATTAATTTCAATTTGTTTCCGATGGTATTGTTCAAAATTTTGCAGTTATTCGAGAGTATTTATATTCTAGCAATTTATTGTCAAAATGAATTCAGAGCATAATCTTTTAATTTCGAAAATCCAAAGTAAAGTTTAAAAAAGATAACATTATTCCTATAATAGATTTACTATATCTACCTGTAACCCATATTGCCACCGTACCTATTTCCTTAATATAGAACAATTTTCCTTAATGTTAAATCTTTCTTTTTCTTAAAATTGCATATAAAGGTTTCGTGAAGACCATATTTCTAACACTGTTGTGTAACATTTCAGTGAAACAAATGTTACTTCTTATACATATGTTTACTTTCTATGGCAAACGATATACATCGATAAAATTATTACATAGCGTACAATAACGAATGCTACTGCGCGTTGAAACTCTATCTAAGTTAAAACTACCTTATTGCAGTTTTCATACAGCAAACAAAAACTATATTATATAGAATAATAGACAAATTAAAATAATATATAGTTTCTCTGCAATAGCTACGATGTGAATATACATAATATATAAGTAAATATACATAACGTACGTATCCGATATATCATAGAGAAATCTTCCTTTAAATTTCTTTTTTACTTTTTGTTATAATATGTAAAATATGCATAGACACACGTAACATCTTTGGGAAATATAAAGAAATTTTATAACGTATACATATTTTTTTAACGCTCTTATAGGCAGAGAACGTTACCGCTTATTGAATTCAAACACGCAGGGCTATTTGTCTCTCACATACATTGTACGCGTCATGATAATTTTATTTATGTATACCTCACGCAAAATGGAAAAACACAAGAATGCATATTCTCGTCCAGTAACTCCCCTTTGCTACACCCTTTCATTATAATACATACTTGCAAATACGTGGAGCATATTCATTACGTAACGGCTCGCAAAAGAACTTTTATTTCCCATAATATCAACTTACGCAATACGCTTACGATATACGGAACATACTACAGTCATGCGAAGAAAAGTGATGCTAAAAGAAGTGATTTCCATCGTAAAGTTAAGTTTGTTTCCAGTTTGGTGTTGGCCCCTGCCACAAGATGCGACAAAATTTAAAATATTCTGTGTAAAACTGCATCATTATTTGAGCATAATTTTAGGGCTAGGCCTGGTGATACCATTGATATATTGTATTACAAATTATCTCGATAATCCTGTCGTCTTAGTAAACCAAATCCTTGCAATAACCAGCATTTCTCACGCCATTTCTAACTTTATCTTTGAGATAGTTAATTATCATCGCATACAGGTAATTAATATTTGTCTATATTTATTATTTAACTATATTTAATATCAAATTATTATCTATATTTAATAAAAAAATTTACATGCAAATTAAGAAGATTCACGTTTTATTATTACAATATATTTATATAATTATTTAAAATAACAATTATTTCAAGTAATTATTTGCAGAATGTTACTTTTGAAATGGTACATTTTTGTGATTTGATGAAATCACATGAAGAAGTTGTGATCCAACGATACATTAACAAATATACCATGTTTCATAATATATGTCTATTTTTTATCTACTTTCCTACAACAATCGCAATATCTGTTTTATTGCATCAGCCATTTCCAGTAGTAATCGATTATCCATTTAATGTATCTTATCAACCGGTAAAAACAATAATTTTTATACATCAATCTATGATGGCAATAATGATAGCAGGACAATTATGCATGAATATTTTGATGGCTCTATTATTGTGGTTTACATCGGCAAGATTTGAAGTTCTGATTGAAGAGCTGAGAAAGATTACAAATGTCTATCAACTTTTCAAATGTATTAAAGAACATCAAGAATTACTCAAGTAAATACCACAACTATTGATATAAAGAATAATCTAGTTGACAAAATTTTAATAATTCTGACGCGTTATGCATTTGTGTCAGATACGCGAGGGAAGTTGCGATCGCTGCTCGTCCTTTCGCGTTTTCAACTATATGTTGCAGCACGGTTTGCTTAATATTAATCTTTCTTTTGATTATTAAAGTAAGTACATTAATATTAAATAATATAATATTATACTTGTATATTTTCTTAAATTTATATATATCTTTATCGTTATATCCTTCATATTTATGCAAAAAGGAAAATACTTCATAAAAAAATTTTAGTGTAGAAGCTTCAATAGAAATAATATGTATATCAATAATATGTATTCAATGGAAATAATATGTATATCAATTTTTTTAGCGTGAATCTACAGCGGCGATAATCCAGTTTGCCGGAATAGGTATAATAGGTGTATTAGAAGTATTTACGTATACTTGGCCAGCCGAACATTTAATGCACATGGTAAAATATTTATTACTTAAACTTGTTATGTTATAATTTATTTCCTTTAAAAAAATGTTTATTACTCAGAACAAAAATGTTGCAGAAGCAACGTTTAATATGCTCGAAAACGATCATTTAATTAAAATATGGAAATGTCTGCAAATTATTATAATGAGAAGTCAAAAACCAATAACAATTTCAATACTTTGCCTTCTGCCTATATTATCTCTTAATTACTTTACATCGGTAAGATTAACTTTTAAGATGATTCGAGAATTGCAATAATTAATAAAAAAAAATTCAATCCGTTTTTCCGAAATTCTATTTCATCCATTTTACCCAACGAGCAATACTGTAATTACGCTGTGAGTCACTTTTATATACACAATTAAAAAATTGATATGTTCATGAAAATAGAGTCGATACTTCTAGCATTAAAGTGCATTCCGTTTCGCGAAATCTAGCGAAGCTATTTTTTATGTACATTTGAAGTTTAGAAATCATTTCAACTGCGGTACAATCTAATATTTTGTAATTGTTTGAAAAATATGCATTTAAATGTAAAATTGATCGCTAAATCTGAAAATGATAAAATTAAAAAAACGATTAAAGTAAAATGGTAAATGCATTTTTTGTAAAAAAAAAATAGCTCAAATTTTTCAAATTTTTTTAAAAAGTTTTTAAAACGTTTTTTTTAATAATATTCATAAAAGGTCAAAAAATACCAAAAAATTTTCCTAAAAATGCATGTTTTCAGTATTTTACTTTACTTCAATCACTTTAACTTTGTCATTTTCAAATTCAGCAAATTTTACATGGATTTTCAGACAAATTTTCATCTTACATCGTAGCCAAAATGACTCTACTAAACTTTAGTGGTGCATAAAAACATAAATAACTTAATTTCGCAGAATGAAACTTCGATACTAGATTTCTCTATCTTCAAGGATCAATTTTTTCGTGTGTGAAAAAAATTATTTTTGTTACATAGCGTTATCACATATTCTGTATATTATAGGTATACAGATTATATGTACCTTTTTAATATTATATTTAAAAATATAAATAATATTACAGTCAAATCTCCTTATTCTTTACTTCCCTTACTTTGCCATTTCTCTTCTTGCGTTCATCATATTTTATTTGCGTCACCACTTTATTAAGCATTACTTTTTTAATTCGCGTATAGTTAAGTAGTCATACAAATAGTTATAAAATGAGAACGGAAAGTAAAAATAGCAAATAACATAAAAGCAGAGAATAAGAAATATTTAAGGTTGTATATCTTTTAATAAAACTATCTTATAAATAATTTAACTATATATTTATTATTATGTGTTACACAGTATCTTTCAACTGTACTCTCTTATTTCACAACACTGCGAGTAATAATAGAAAATTAAATATACAAACACAATGTGTTGCAGTCAAAATACTTGCTTTAAACAATTAATGTTGGCAGAAAAAGTACTATATGTTTTTATATTGTGTTGCAGAATTGCCGAAATATATACTATTACTTCAGGTATTATTTAATTCAAAAACAGTAAATTGAATCATAATTGTTATTATTATAGCACTAATAATAAATATCACTTTAGGATATATAATGTTATATTAGTTTTATTGTAATATATTTTCAATTATCTCTATTTGTTATCAATCTCTGAGAATAAAAAAAATAAATTATAATTTTGAAATATTATACATTATAATAATAATTTTCATATATTATTTCCTAAATGTAATATTATAAATAGTATTAATTTTTTCACAAATTGATTTTACAATCGTTATTAATGTAAAGAAAAATTCATAATCAATATAATCTTCCCTTTAATTACCTCATTCATACTGTCATAATTCACAGTGTCACAAAAAAAAACAAAATTAAAAATAATTAAAATAATGAATATTTACTGTAGGCTACATATATTGATCCTCTTTTCAAAAACGAAAGTGAAAGTTAATTAAAAGAAGGTACGCGTATCAATAGACGATGATAATGCTAAACTTTTTACTATAATAGTATAGTATTACTATTTCAACTATTTTAACATGAAATTTCAAGCACAATAAAGTTTATTTCCATCTTTATTTCTAAAGCATTTTGATGAAACTAAGATTGCATCAGAAAATTTTATCATGAATATCAGAAACAATTGCTATAGCATGTAGCAACGACCTTCAATTACTTGCATATTCCATGACTTATAAATCATTCTCAACCTAGTATTCATCACATTACGTATAATGATAAAAAATAATAGTGTTCAAGAAAATTCTTTTATGCTTTCAAAAGAAAGAATTCAATGCACAAGGTACAAAGTATATATTAAATTAATGCATTGAATACCTCTTGCAAGGAGTGTATACTTCTTTTAGAATTTATAGTAAGTAATTCTATAGATATTTATAGAGTATAAATCTGCTAGGTAATATCATTCTTCTTTTACAAGAATTACATCGTAGAAATATATTCGAGGAAGTCCATTAGAACTTCGTTTGTATAAAATTTTCTTCTATGTACATTCGCTTATTGTAATACTGCAATTCTTTTCCAAGCAAGAATTTTTTACGTTTCTTGTAACGCGTGCACATGTATATGTGATATATATGATCATGAAGAAGAGCTTGACATTAAAGAAGGTGATCGCGATAGTAAAGCTAAGTTTGTTCATAACATGGTGCTGGCCTCTTCCAAAAGACACAGTTAAGCTTAAAATTATTTGTGCGGGACTATACCAATATCTGTGTCTAATTTTAACTTTAGGTCTAATCGTAGGACTAACGAACACGGTTAAAAACCATCTAAATGATCCTCTCATCATGGCAAAATCAATAATCATAATATGTCCTATGGTGCATGTTGTTTGCAATATCATAAGCTGTAAAATTAATTCACGTCGTCTGCAAGTAATTAATATAAAATATATTTAGTAAGAGTGAAATTTTAAAAGCGAAATATCGGATGTAAAATAAAGCTTATCTCAAGACATGCTATTGCATGTATAATACCGGTCTAATCGATTTCAGTTGGTAACTTTCGAAATGGAAAATTTCTGTCAATTAATTAAACCTCACGAAGAAGCAACTATTCAGCAATACATTAGCAAATGCGTTTACTTCTATGGTGGTTCTATGCTTTGGATTTATTTAAGCGCTGTTTTCGTCATCACTGGACCGGTCACGTTAGATCAACCGTTTCCAACGAACGCCGAGTATCCGTTCGTCGTTTACCAGCAACCATTAAAAAGTATTATATTCATGCATCAGTCTTTTGTATGTCTTCAAGCTTCTGCTCAGCTATGTATAAATATTTTCATGGCTCTTCTGCTTTGGACCACCTCAGCGAGATTTGAATTATTAGTCAAAGAGTTACGAACAGTCACCAATGTTCATGGTTTAGTTCAATGCATTCGACAACATCAAAGATTACTACAGTAAGTATTTTAAAATATTTATATTAGGCCTGTTCTTTTTATAGATCCCAAAACTGAATATCTTGCACAATTTATTTTTTTGTCTTTTTCTCTGCAATGGTTGTGCTCAGCAAAAAAAGCACCTTTACAACTGTTGTAAATTTTTTTAAATATAATTCATCTTGCTCTTAATTTCTAACATTGAATCTAAATGTATAAACCAATTATATTAAAGAATTTTTACAACAGTTGCAAAACTACTTTTTATAATGGACGCAGTTAATGTGAAAAGAAGATAAAGACAGAAAATGAACTGTGCAAGAAATACCTATAATAGGATATGGAAAAAGAAACAGAACAAGCCTATTATTATAATCATAGAGATCAAATTTAAAATAAAATATTCAAAAAAATTCAAGCATACCAAATATAAACTGACTTAGAAAGTAATATATACTACAGATAATTATAATAATGTTATCAAACATATATTTTTATAGACCATTATTATTAAATATTTTAAATTTATATTATTAAATTTATATTATTAAATTTATAGACCAATATTATTAAATATATTTTTTTCAAATATAGTCATATTTTAATTTTATATTTTAAAATTTTTGCATTGTCATAAGTAAATCTATTATAGCTCTCTAAACAAGATTTCCAATTTTAGAAATATATCACAGTTATTTTAATATTAAAAATGTCGCTTTTAAGTGATATATCTATATTACGTCATCTTCAACTGTATCTTATTAAAAAAGTAATTTTTTCTAAATTTACTCAGCAAGATTTTATCGCACTGTTTTCTAAACTTTTGGAAAAATTTATATAAAAACAAGATTAACAAGATTTTAACAAGATTATTCAATATATTCATCCATTTTAGATATGCACAAGAAGTGATTGCTATAGTTCGCCCCTTTGCATTGACAACTATAAGTCTTAGTACTTTTGCATTAATAATAATAATCGGTCTCATTTTTATTACTGTGAGTATTATAGTATATTATTAATGATAATATTATTAATAATATTGTATATATGTTTTGTAACTTTAAATGTATGTGAAAAAGAACTAATTCTCTCAATTTTATATTCACATTTATTCCTTTTTATACTTTGTGTGTTATTTATTATTATTCGCATATTCTTTTCGTATATTATTATTATAATATATTCTCTCTAGAAATTAATTAAGACTAAAAATTTTATAATAAAAATATGAATGTTATTATACTACTATAACTTATGAATTATAAGCAATTAAAGAGTTGGTCATTCTAAGCCAGTAAAAATTGCATATAATAGTTCATCTTTCACTTCTTATTAATTTTTAGTTGTTTAATAAGAAAGACATTATGTAAAAATATTTCCAGTCACAATGATTTCATTTTTTATCAATTATCCAATAAAACAAAATTTGCGTCTTTTGAATGAGGTAAAGTATTTTAACTTTAAACTCTATACGATGTCAACAGTTAATATTATTCATTTCAATTATTACTTTTGCTAATTTTATAAATTATTGTATTTAAATATTTTTGTATTAAAATTTTTTATTTTAATTAATTTCCAGAATTATTTTTTAAAATATTGTCAACAGTTGTGTGATAGAACAGTATCTACACTGAGAGAAAAACTATTTGGTATATTTGTAACTATAATTACATATTACTATATAATTACATATTACGATATGATTATGATTACAGTATTAGTAATAATAACTCTTACGTATACATGACTATAATTATAATTATTATAACCATAAAGTTGATTGAAATTATCATAAAAAATTATTTAAATAACTATAATTATAATCATTTTCGGTTGCCAACTATATATATTAGTTGATAGAATTGTGTGCGTGTGTGTGTGTGTGTGTGTGTGTGTGTGTGTGTGTGTGTGTGTGTGTGTGTGTGTGTGTGTGT